TATTTGGGCCTAAGTTAGAAGACGATGGTGTCTGGAGAAAACTGCATAATGATGATCTAAAAAATCTGTACTCCTCTCCCAGTATTGTCAGGGTGATTAAGTTGAGAAGAATGAGGTGGGCGGGGCATGTAGCACGCATGGATGGGACAAGAGGTGTGGGAAGTCTGAGGGGAAGAGAACCTTTTGGAGTCTGTTACATTTTACACGTCACTCTGTTACACTGCGGCCTCACATGAGAGTCCTCTGTCGTCCCATAACAAGGGTGAGATAACTTAAAATGTTTTGGCTTATTTTTATCCTAAATGTGTGTCTGTCTGTGTAACGAATATCAATATATGTTCATGTTATTTGTCCGCTATATAGTTGGAAGTCTTGTGTTGCCACTACAGAAACAGCTTTATCTCTCCGTTGTAATGTTCACAGCACTGTAGACACATGAACTCCGTTGCGAAACTCCGTTGGACAGATAAGGTTTTAGAGCGCATAAACTGAAATCGTTTCCCATTGTTTACCTCAAAGTACAATTGTTTATGGATCCCAGTTTTGGAACAGCCGTGAACTGTAAGGATGTTTAGAAGACCAACTAACCTGAACATATACAACGGACGAAATATTTCCGATATTTCAAGTAAATTACTTCATACAAATTGCGGATCGTTTTATTAAAACTTTATTTTAAAAGAACAGTTTTAGTTTACATTAATCACATATAGATAGAGACTTGTGTTCCTGGCTTTGTTCACGTGTGCTTGTGTATTTGTGTTTCGGCCGTTCTCTCGCAATAAGGACATTCTTATTCCCCTTTCGTGCACTTTTCTTTCCGCGAATGACGCAATAAACGAATATTTCAAAAGTGCAATTTATTTGCTGTTTCTGTATGGCAGATACCGTGTCCTGACTTGTCAGAGTGAATGTAAGACACTCACTAAGGCGCCATGAATTAACTGAATATAACAACATAATACAACACAAAAAAATTCTTGATGTCATTGTAAGAACATACAATAAGCGAGGTGAATAACTTAGGTTGTGTGCAATTTATAAATTAAATTAACGCCTTATTTTGTCATGAATTTTCTCCAAGACATATTACGCGTATTACGAAAATGTTCATAATGACTCGTTACCTTCTCCGCCATGAGAACCTCAAATCTCACTATGGAATTACGTTTCATTATTCTTTTCTTTATTATCAGCATGGCACTTCAAACCCACTAATGGCTTTGTATAGGTAATATACGTCACTCTATTATTGAGAAAATTAGTTACAGTAATGCGCTAAGCCTGCAATCATTCACCAGGTACTATTTTTCGATTTCTTTTGGTTCTCGGACATCTTGAGTCATGTTTTTTTGTAATGTGCGTCAACCTTTCGAGGTGAATGCCGGTATAGGATCTTCGAACAGGACACGATTCCATCCACATCCTTACCTGCTATTGATCTTCGGATACCAACAGACGCTATACAACCTGTGGAATTGAATCTGCTTAGTTTAAACTATTTTCCAGAGACCATCTACGGAAATTGTGTAATATAACTATGGAATAGGCCACGACTGCTTTCACTCCCGTCTTTTTTCTAGTTAAGCGTATATTATAAACTTATTTTTGAATTAAATGGTATTTTAAATATGTATCTGATACAGTGACGTGACATAATGAACATACCAACCAAATCGATCAGTGCACAAGTTCTTATAGCAAAATAATTTTCATTTGAACAGAGCCCACCCATCGCTATCGCATGGATTCCGAAAAATATTTCGCTGGTGCATATTCGGCCGAGGTGTTGAGGTCACCACGTATCGAGGTCTACAGTGCTAGGAACTTTGCGCTCCCTTACGGTGCGATGTTCAAACACAGAAGCGACCTTAACATTTGAAATACGAAAAAGGCGGACACTGCTCAGACTGCAGCGCTTTATATCTGCTGCCGAGTGATAGCAATATGACCGCCCTGGGATCAGCAGAAACGGGGAACGAAGCCGATTCTGTGGGTTCTGTTCATTGAGAGACAGGAAGGGGTAGTGCTGATAGCCGACTTCTTTGTCATGACATCGCCGCAACTCCGAACGGGTGAAAGCAATTACCGCAGGAAGTCCCAGTTAGAGGATACCTTGATTAAGTCGTTGTCACGCGGACTGAGGACTTGAGAGACACTCTTATCGTCCTCTCCCTCTCCTCGTCTCATTGACGCCGAGATATTACAGGTTTCAGGGAGATAAATGCTAAGTTTTGATCATTTATATAGTACATTTATGCGAAACCCAATACTTTAGGGCCTAGAACTCTTTGTGATAACTTCAAATAGTATACGTTTTGTAGACATACGAAATATTTTATGGGTATCTCCTGAAATAATTCATAACGGCCGTGTCTTTATTGATGTAATATCATTTCTTTTCTTTTACAGACTTTTCACATGAGTACGTTATTCATCCTAACTGGTACTTGAGGGTATATGCAAATAAATGAAAATGGTTTACACTTTTTATGCATTTAGAAGCCTGTATTTATATTTCTGACAGTTATCTAGGGCTAAGATGATGAGTGGTTTCACTGACTGTGCTACGCACACAAGTATGATAGTTTAAACACGTTCGAAGTATGGAAACGATTAAACAAATCACATGAGATCTGAAGCTTTTCGATGCTAATAAATGCACTATAATCCTCGAGGCCGACTAGCCACGTCACTACTCTCAACAATGACGAGAGGATTTCGGTGCATTAAATCTGTTACTACTAACTGCTTAACCCAAGACCTGCTAACCTAACCATCCATCTGTTATCCTGCCCTTTATGTAGGGAGACTGGGGTTTGATGAACCCATAAATCATCCCCATGGCAGTTTGGCCTCTAACTACAAATTCTGTTTAAAAACATTCAGTAATCGCTGCTAGATTCTTGTACTATTATGCTCCGGTTTGTCCTTTTGGGCATTCTGGGATTAGATGAGCACATAAATCATCACTTTTTAAGCTTGGTGTCTTAGTGAAAAGTCTGGTGATTACACATAGCGGTCACTGTCCGGCACCACTAAAATATCCTTTGCATTTCAGGGATGTATCCATAAATCACTACCTTGATGTTTTACACTTTAAAGAAATTATCTTTCTGGTTTGGATGTAGCTGGCTTTCTGAAATACCAGTGAAACTGAAGTCACGATACTAACGAAAGTCTGGAAAGACCTTCAAAACATGACACCCATTCGGATCGCATTATAAGACTTAGTATTCTGATATTGGCATATATCAGCAAAGCTCACATATTTCCGAATTTATACCCTTATTGCTTAAATGTATAGCTAGTTGGCTAAATGTATTTATACAGAGGTAATATGTTTACAGTTAACCATATCTTAACTTAATATTTTTTCTATACGTAGCTGCAAAGGTAAACATCTGGTCAGGTGGATAAGTATTTAGATGTTAATTTCCATAGATACTCTGATTTCGCTGTCAGTGTAAAGTTTTCAAATAAAGCCAGAGCACTCCGACCCGACCTTTGTCTGTGCCACCGTTGCGTTGTAGCAATGCGATGCGCATGCGTGAAGAACGAAGCTCAGACGAAGTTGGAGAATGCGAAAGCATTATGACGCATTACCATACTTTAATTACTGTTTCATCAGCATGCGTCTAGCGATGTTTCAGTTACGTATAATAATGGGAAGTGTAATTGTCATCACACAGAAAGTGATGTCTCTATAGTCCTTACAATACGCTGCTGTCTGTACCAGTGTGCTTTCGTTCCTTGCCGGCAATTAGGTCGGAGTGCCTCTGGTACAATACATCTTTTATTATGGTAGTGGTTCCTAAACTGTGTTCCTTGAAACATGAAGGTGCCGTGAGAGATTTTCATAAAGATAACCAAACCAAAGTAATTTTTTTAAAACGAATAAAACTGATATCTGTTTTTGAACACGATACTGAGGTCTAAATTACGATAATTACATTAAAATCTGTGTATTTTTAAATTTATAAAATCTATAACTCAGTCTGAACTTGTGAACAAATTAAAGAGAAAGTGACAGAGGGGAGAAAATTACGAATTGAGACATTTCATGATTCGTAGTTTGCCCTTAATATTTTTAGTGTGATTGAATGAATGAGGTTGCAGTGGGCGAGAATGCAGAGTAAATGGGGAAACTTATACAAAACCTCAGTTGGAAAGTCTCAAGTGAGGAAAGAATCTTTGGAGACCTAGCTATATATAGGAATGTAGCCCTAATATTAGAATGTATCGCTGAAAAGTAGGGTATGAACGAGCGGACGGTACTTAATTGGCTCAGGGTAGGATCTAATGGCGGGCTTTTGTGACCACGGTAATGATTTTTTGTGCTTCTTCGAATAAGAGGCATTTCTTTACCAGAAGATCAACTATCAACTTTCTAAGAAAGTCCTTGAACTTTGAACTTAGTTACTGCCCCAGGATACTTATCAGTATTAGCAATAAACTCACTTGGAACTTATCTTGTGGAGTTCTTTGACTGTGAAGAAGTGGTAGCTTTTGTAGATTGTACATTACAGTTCTCCGTGGTCTTATCTGTTTATCATGTGTTGGTTATTATTAACATGTAATTCCTTTTCCAATATGAAATCGTAATTTGATTGAGAACTACTAAGTGCTATAAACGTATGAGATTAAAATTAAAATAATTTTTTTTATTAATAATCTCGGTTTAAGTGCATAATGGATATGTCCTGGTGTGTAAAGTTTTGTAGTGGGATCAAAGGCTATGTATGGGGAAGGAGCGTTGTTCTCGGCGTCTGAGACGCTAACAAGTGGCTTCCATCAGACCCCTTGTCTCCTCTGCACTTTGAATAATCCGACCAAGTTCATAACACCCCATTCATTCATCCACTCAGAATAACCAGGAAGGAGTTTTGATTGCCCTTCAGCATCGAACTGAACAACATAATTCACAAAGAGGCACTTCCAGATGGAATTTCCGAGCACTTTGGTAAAACGAATAACATAATGTTTTGTACTTATTACAGGAGACGCTTGCGGCCCGAGCATGCGCCTAGCTGTCCTGTGGCTGCTCTTGCTACAGGTACAGGCGGGCCGAGTCGGGCTTGGACAACAACTCGAGGCCCGACTGGACACAGTGCGCAGAATATTGCACGAGGTTCCCCTTGTAGACGGGTGAGTTCAGAAACTTCTCAGTCTAATAACAGGTTCTGACATAAACGTTCCTTGAAATGTTTCCAGTGTGGGGAGATACTAACTAGAATTCTAGATCTGAGATTTTCACAGTGATGAAAGTTCGGATTATGGTCTTTCGAGTTTTTACACTCTTTTGCCTTGTAGGTGGTTACCAACAAGTCGGAGGAACATAATGAATCCATCTTCTTCCCTGAAGATGGAGGTAGCATTTTCCTCTGGCATTTGGCAAAAACCTACGAGAATAAGCATTTTCACAGCTCAGGAGACTATAATATAAAACGTATGGAAAATGTTTTGAATTGTGATCTGGAGTTTCCAATGAAACTGTATGATGTTAAAAGACTGCATTTAGAAATTCCAGAGCGATGAAGGGTTGAATAATACTCAGGCAGTTTATAACATTATCAGTACAATACTGATAACGGTCAGGGAACATAAAAGCACATATTCCCTACGCGAAATCAAAATATAAAAATTAATTTTCTTCATTATATTTCCTAGTTGCCAAAATGGCAGATCTGCAGAGAGGCAGTCTGACCGATTTCCAGTCGTATCGCCATCTGAGCTTCAGTAGTTATTACTCCGTTCGTCGCTGTCCCTAGAAATAACCGCTTGACTTCCACAAACTTTTATTTTTGGCACGTGGAACGAGTATGAAAGTCTGAGTAATGTATTTCGAACCTTTTACTAGTGTAATTAAATATCATTTTGAAGACGCCTTCAGAATACGATACTCAAGATCTTGCGAGCCTAACATATATTCAGGTCTCAGCTTGCAGGCAGACAAGTATGAGGTGGGATGCGAGAACTTAAAACGCTGGTAATAAAATGAAGTCCCTGCTCCTGGAACTTGCGTAATTTCTGAAAGTGGGTTACGTCTCTGTCGCACTGTCGCACTGTTGCGCTCTTCAGAGACTCATTTCTCATGCGCCGCGCGTCAAGTGATGTAGGGGGTGCAGGAATTTCAGGGGCGCTCTGAGTAACCTATTGACTGGTTAACAGGGTGACAATGAATGAATGGCTAGCTGGCTGGTTGAGTGGCTGACTCACCGAACGAACGAGTGGC